CTTCAATTCTAGTTTTTAACAGGAAAGTCTGAGCTCAAATACAGTGAAAGTCAATGAGAGTTTGGTTAGTTGCACTCTGCAGGCTGGAGGGATTCAGGAAGGCCTATTGAAGACACAGCGAGTAAAAGATGATAGAACGATCTGTATTTTGTTTTATGAACTGTGTAAAAAAAGTAAGGTTTGTGGGAAAGAGCTTATGTGCAAAATGCCTAAAAAGCACTCTGAATTTAATGTGTGACATCATCAACATCATCATCCATAAATCATGAACCATGACTGTATAAAATCCATCAGGGATATCAAAATGTCAGTTCAGTCATGTACAGTCTAACGTCCTGAAACTCGTTTAAATTTTGAACGATGTTTCTGTCACAAAGTCTTCCTGATCTGCAGAGATCCAAAAAGGAAGTGCTTCTCTCACCCATATTCCTCAAATGCCAAACGTTTTGTTGTACTTTTTCCAAAGCTGCATGAGAAGTGGCACAATTAAATCATGACAAAAGCAAAAAGACAACAAACTGCAAAAAGGCGCCTATAATTATGGCTGACGTGTCCGATAAGTCATAATTACGACTCAGCTGTCTCACGATCCTCTAGATCACGATGATGCGATAGTTGTAAGTCAAGATTATTATGTACAGGATCATTTTAGACAGAAATAAGCTTCAGCAAGTTTTCCAATGCGTAAACTTACCGTCTAGTGTTTCTTTCTCGGAGTCAGAGTCCCAGCTGAGGGAGGAGGGAAAGGCTGAAGTCTTGAATCTCTCCTGGGCAGCAGGCTGAGAGTCCTCGCTCTGCTCGGACCTCTCCTCTCCGGCTTGGTCCCACGGGCTTTGTCCAGACGTCGGTCCACCTCCCGGGTTTGAAGAACACGACGTCTTGTTGGTAAAATAAAACGAAATGAATAGTTCTAACTTCTATTGATAAGCATCAGTTTGACAAACTATTGGTGGTGATGAAGGTTTTACTCTCAACCAGTCGTAACACTGAGGCCCCATTAGACCTTTTGACCCAAGGGCAGCAGCAGGATATGTGGCCGTTACAATGAAAATTATGAACTGATTAAACTGAAAGTTAGACAACACACCAATAATCAAACAACCAAATATATTTCATTCAGTTAGTAAATTCAAATCATAATTTCTTTATATTTTATATATTTTTGTCTATCCAGCCATCCATTATCTTTACCCGCTTCTTCCTTTTCGGGTCACAGGGGGTCACTGGTGCTCATAATTTTTTGCATTTATCATAATTTATGCTGTATAAGTTGCAGTTTTTTGCATAATTTAGCATGCCTGCGACATACACTGAAGCAATGTATTTATGTTTTTTTTTTCCCCCACATTTATAAACCAATTTTTGGCTGAGATCTGACGATTTCATTCATCCTGACATGGAAAATATTGAACACTACCATTTTCAGCCACTAGAGGGCCCTTGACTAATATGGAAAGGCGCGTTTCATTAATAGGTAAAAGTGGCTATTAATGAGACGTTTGGCTTGCCATACAGGTCAACTTCGTCTTGCTCCGGAACTCCTGGAGCAAACGTCAAATCAGCTGCATTTCAACGCGCAGACCAGGAGAAATGCAGCTGATTTGACCGACAAAGTGCATTTATCAAGAAAAAGTTCAACTGAGACACACCTTGACTATAATTTTGAGCAACAAATAATTGTTTTTAGGTGGTTATCTTGTAAGAAATGCACAACAAGTCCTCCCGTGCACACTCCCGCGGCAGCCATTTGGCAGCCCATGGAGTTTTGCCACAACACCGGCCCACATGTCTGGGTGACGCGTAATAGATCTAACATATACGGTGAAGCGACGTATTTATGTTTTTTTTTTTCCATTTTATTAGACGTATTTGGACTGATGCGACTTATACGGCAGCAAGTTTGGTAATTTATATATGTGCAAACAAGTTGTGGGAGTAAAATATATAAAACTTTTTAGACATTTTAAAAGTTGGAGCACATCAGCTGAACGTTCCAAGAAAAAAAATCTTCAAAACCCAGAAGAACTTTTTTCTTCTGCTTATGGCTACTCCCTTCTTCAGGGGTCACCACAGTGAACTAAGTCACATGAAGACTTGGCGATTGTTTTTACACCAGATGTCCTTCCTGACACAACCACAAACCACTGGGCTACCACAGTCCTCTGTGTAGAGCAGAGAGCTGCTGTCTTGGGCCACCTAGATGGTGGAGGTTAAAGGCCTTGCTCAAGGGCCCAGAGTGGGGCAAATGAGGGTGGAGGCAGGTGTGGGTGTTTCAACTTTCTCACCCACAGTTTGATGTTGTCGATACCGGGAGTCAAACCGGCGACCTTCCGATCACAGGCCTACCTTCTCTAACCTCTGCACCACCACTCCCCCTAGAAAAATTAATCTATAATTGTGTTAAAACAGATTAAAAAATGCTAGTTCGGACACGAAAAGTCAATTTTTCTGACCAGTTTCCATTTTGAATGTTTCTTCTGTGAGGTGTGGCTGCAGAGCTGCAAAACGTTTTTTTTTTTTTTTTTATCCGTTTTGCCAAAATTCCACTCAATGATATATATTTTTAGCAGTATTTGATCATCTTGTTTACGTTGTGTGATGCAGAGCTACCAAACGTCATAGCTAGGCCTGTCACGATAACAAATTTTGCTGGGCGATTAATTGTCTCATAAATTATTGCGATAAACGATAATATTGTTTGAAATTTGACAATAATTAATAACTACTGTCAAATTTAAGAAGAAATGTTTGTTGTTTTGAGTGTAGTGCCGTTTTTTGACCACTGGATGGTAGTATAGGACTTTTTGAACCGAAGGATGGATAGTGAGGGAGTGAGTAACGTGCCTCTTTAAGAAAAATGGGAGGGAGGCCCCTTGATGTGACATGGGCTGTCTCTCGTTCCTTTTTTCGGTTCTTATAATGGCGGACGCTCGGTGTGGTTTGAGCTCTTTAGCATAACATTTTTCACACAAAGATTTTAATTATAAAATCAGTAAACAAGTTCTCATCTTCCTTTTCAGAGAAATCAAGTTTTTGCACAAAGGCACGGGTTTCAACCGTGAATTTTGGAGCTTTGACAAGACAGAGGTTTTTTCCCACCCGAGGTTGGCCTGTTAGCTTAGCTCGTAGCTTAGCTTCTCAACTTAGCTGCTTTTAAAGATCAACAAAACATGATTTTGGACGGTTTAAATTAATTTTAAAGAGAAAAGAGAAAGGGAGGAGTCAGTGAAGAGCACCAGAGTTGAGCCTTTTGTCATCCAGTGTCTTCAGTAGAAAGAGAGAGACACGAAGAAACGATAAAGCCGATAAATTAAAATGAAATCGATAATTTTCATTTATCATGTGATTGATTTATTGTTTATTGCGACAGGCCTAGTCATAGCGCTCTATTCCTGATCGAGCCACACGTTTAGATATAACTGTTGTCTTTTTTTTCTTTTTTCCTAATTCTGTACGATGAGACATTGGGTGACATTTTAGGCGTTTGTTTAATTAACGTGGGAGTTTTCTTCCAAACCCCAATACAGACAAAGTTTGGACGTATGGTAAAACGTAAATAAAGGCAGAATGCAATGATTTGCAAATTCCAAACCCCCATGTTTTATTTGCACTGGAACATAGTGATCATATCAAATGTTTAATGTAAAAATGTGAATATTTCTAGGGAGAAATAAGATGATTTTTAAACTTTGCAGCAGCAACACCTCCAAACATTCTGAACAGGAGCAACAAAAGGCTGGATATGATACGAAGCAGCATTTCACAATGATCGGGTTGAACTGGCGACACATCAGTAAGACGACTGGGAATAAACAGCATTTGAGACAAACTGAATCTCTCAGAAGTAAAGATAGGCAGAGGTTCACCAGTCTGAGAAAACCTGCATCTAAAAACAGTGGTTCCCAACCATGGTCCTTGAGGAACACCATCCTGCATATTATAGTTGTTTCTCTACTCCAACACACCTGATTCAATGATTCTTCCTTAAGTTCAGCAGAAGCCTGTTAATCACCCTTTCATTCAAATCAGGTGGGTTGGAGCAGAGAAACAACTGAAACAAGTAGAATGGTGTTCCTCAGGGACCAGTGTTGAGAACCACTGGAAACAGTGACAAATCTATAAAGTCTGTAAAGTTAGCCGTGCTCTCCACACTTAGCTATTAAACATGTAGCATACAAAGAATAAGCTATATGCTCAGTTAAAATGGTCCGAGAAAAAGTGGAAAACTGTTCTGTGGTCAGACAAATCAGACAAATCTAAATTAAAAAGTTCACGTTTCTTTTGTCATTTACATCGCATGTGGTACATGAGGTGGAATGAAATTATGTACACAGGGTCCTAGTTACACCCAAAAATAGCAAAAATATAAAGTATAAAAAAACAACAGTATACAAGGATCGTACACTGATATACGCTAAAAGAAAGCTAAACAATACGCTAAAGATCTAAGGTATGTGCTACACACTAATAATGTAAAATAATACGGTATATTAAACAGCAGCCCGAAGTTAGCATGGACGCTACGTCCTAAAGAGGAAAGGGATCATCAAGCCTCTTATGAATGAATAGTTCAAAAGCCTACCTCTCTGATGGTATAGGGGTGCATTAGTGTCTGTGGCACGGGCAGCTTACACATCTAGAAAGGCGCACTGAATGCAGAAATGTACGTACAGGTTTTAGAAGAGCAAACGCTCCCACCTAGATACTGTCTGTTTCAGGGAAGGCCTTGCATATTTCAGCAAGGCGATGCTAAACCACAAACTGCATCCATTACATTGACTCATCGTAGAAGAGTCCAGGTGCTGAACTGACCTGCCTGCAGTCCAGACCTCTCACTAACTGAAAACTCGAGATCCATTTGATACAAAACGTCCGGTGAAGACGACCCAGGACTGTTGAACAGCTAGAATCAGACAAGAACGGGGCAACGTTCCCCTCCAACACCTCCAGCAGCTGCTCTCCTCACTTCCTCCACATTAACTGACCCCGTCCCAACGTTTTTGACGTGTTGCTGCCATCAAAGTCAAAATTAACTTTTTGTCCCCACAGAAAGAAGGTCAAATGTTTTAGTTGAAACATTTGACGTGTTTACAGTGTTCCACGGTGAATAAAATACAGGTTTGCACATCACGGCCCTCTGTTTTTATTGTGTGAATGTTCAGGAAGCACTCGCGCTGTAGGGATCCAGTTGTCTTCTGTACGTTTTTCAGCATCTTTATCGTTACACAAGTTTTGTGCCATTTCTACAAATCGTATATTAAACCCTTCAGCTCTTTCAGGACAATCCTGCTATGACTTTTGGTATTGGTGCAACTTCAGCTTTTGAAATATTTTAGCCTTTTCTGACACTTTTTTTGTCTCAGAAATTGAATTGAGCTCATTTTACATCCTTCAAATCTTTAGATCCGTTTACGACCTTTTACTGCTCCTTTCACATTTTGTTCTGCTTCAGCTTCTTTCAGCTTCCTTCTGCAAATGAAAAAATAAATCAGCTACTTTCAGTCTGCTATATTCTGCTAAATACATTTTTTTGTGCTTCTTCTAACTTCTTTCGGCTAATTTCAGCTTGTTATGCTCCTTTCAGCTAATTTCTGCAAGTTTCTGCTATTTCAGCTACTTTTTGCTGTTTTCAGCTAATTCCACATTTTTTAGCTCCTTGCCTTTTTAGCTACTTTTTGCTCATTTCAGCTTCTTTTTTAGCTAATTTCCTAATTTCTGTGCTCATTTCTGCTTCTTTAAGTCAAATTCAGCAAATGTGTCGTCTTTCTGCTTTCTTCTGCCATCTTAGGCTCGTTCTTCCATTTCAGCTACATTTCAGCATGTTTTTAGCTCATTTCAGCTGTTTTTCAGCAAGTTCTTCAGCAATATGCATGCACTCTGCATTTTCGCAGGAAATTTAATTTCTCTGGTTTACATTGTACACAACCTTCGAGCGTTTCCAGCAGTGGGGCTGTCAGCCGAAGCACCGTGTTAGATGTTAGTGTGATCCATGGCAGAGAGCAGCACTTATTAGAGAGGAATATCTCACCCCCAAGTCGCAGGCGAAGAAGGTGGGGTTGGCCGGATCTTGATCTGAGCAGACGGGTGGGGACCCATAGCTGGTCCCTGGGGTTCTGAGTTGCCCATCTGGCTCCATGCTCCCCCCCAGAGAACAGTATGGAGACCCACTGGTGACCAGGCTGCCCTACATTGTGTCTCCTCTTCCTCTGGAAACACACATGAAGTGACAGTGAAGTTTTCCCACATCCTGCTGCAGTGACATCTACAAACAGGAGTCATAATAAAGAAACCTGGAAGGAGATCATGTAAACTGCAGGCTCTGTCCAGGTTGGGCTGCTCTTGTTTCAGGGCTGTCTGACCTATTTTCACGACATGTCTCGGATGGTTACATAAAAAAGTGGCCTTTAAATTCAGGCCCGTCTCCTCCTGCTGCCCCTGTGGAAAGCAGGAAAATGCCCGGCTGGATGAAGGTGTCCCCCCCCCCCCGGGGTTAGCTCCTCCGAGCCCCCCCACCTCAGAGGACGTGGCTGACATCGACCTAGCCGCTGTCAGATGATTAGGGGAACACATCCATGCTGTGCTTTTCACCCTGAACCGCTGCTCTTTTTCAAGAAGTACTCACTGATCGGCCTGGAGGGGAGAGCGGCTCGGTGAGGAGGCTCCGGCCGCTTAGCTCGTCATGGCTTCGGGACGGGGCTGAAGCTGTAAGCCGCTCTGCTACGAGGCTCGGACGGAGAAAGTGGCTCCCTTATTATTATTTTCTTTCAAGCCCGGACTCTCAGGTCTGCTTCGCTGGGTTCACTCGGAGGCGCCAGGCGGAGGACTCCATGTTGTTCGGCTCTCAGTCAGGCGCGCCACGGCGGCGTACGTAACGTCAACCGCCGGGGAGGGGAAGACTTTGACCGACCCACCGGCCTAAAGTTTAATTACTACAACTTTGTTTGTTTCGAGCCCGCCTTTATTTAGTTCACCAAGTTACTTGTCTTGTTTAAAGCGCACATCTTACTATGTCTTATTTATTTTCCTTGTGAAAAATACACAATTTTTTTTAAATAGATTTAAAGAGATAAGGTTTCTCCATTTTGGATCTTCTTTGAGCAGATTCTTATCAGCTGGACCAGTTTAGTCCAAATTGTATAATTTACCCCTGTATATGAAAGTGTTATAAATCACTTGTTAGTGTTGTATAACACAATTTAAGCCCTGTTGACTTTATAATGAATATGGTTGTTTTTGTTTTCTATGAATCCCTGTAAAAAAAAAAAAAAAAACTCCGGATAGTTAAACGGTTATTTGGCTCCCCCTAGTGGTCACATGATGTTTTACATGTATTTAAAACTAATACAGTAATTGTTTTACTTTATTGAACAAAGAACATGCATGTGTTATAATTTCTACACACACACGTGTATGTGT